GGGACAGAATGGGGGAGGGACTACTATGTAGATGTGCTTCTGGCGCCGGATTCAAGGTGAAGAAGTCCCCCCCACCCCAATATCCTGCTCAGTCAATCCTCTGGATTCCAGAGCAATCAATGCTGGCAGGCATCCTCCAGACATCATCCAATTTTCCCTCTATGTATCATACTGTATCAATCTGTGTAAGGGACGCTGGACCCATTTTCCAGCAGGTGACGCTCCCCACCAATAGATGGAGCCTCTCCCCAGGTGCTAGCGATGTCTGCTCTAAACAGCATCGCTAGCACTGGAGGGATTGTGTGTTAAAATAAAATAAAATAAAATAAAATAAAATAAAATAGAAAGAAAGAAAGAAAGAAAGTGCTGATGTGCTCCAAGCACTCCAAATACATTTGGACTGATCCGAGGGCTTTACCCCTGATTGGCAAGCGGCCTCAAATCTGAGTTAACTATTTAAAAAAAAAAAAAAAAAAAAAAAAGGCTTTCATGGTTTGTTTGCAGTTTGCTGTGCTGCGGGACCGTGTGTACTGTAATCATATCAGGGCATACTCAAACTCGGTACTTTTTCGAGTGAGCTCTGGACGTGATTACAGTCAGGTGCATCCAGGTCTGGTTGAAATTCCAGTCAGATACATTTAGAAAGTGCTGATGTGAGTATGCACCCATGCCCTGCTTCATTACATGATTGCTGTCACAGCAAGGATGTCCAGGCTGGCAGCCATCATGGACAAACAGTGGATTCATTTTATTTCATTTATTTATTTTTTTAACCACCAGTACTTGGCCCATACATCGGCCACGGAAAAAGATACTCGAACGAACCTACCCGCCAGTGTATGGGTCAGTACATTCATCATCACGGCCACTTCTTTACCGCCGAGACTTTAGCAGGAAGTATGGGGGGCTGGTCCCATTAGCAAAGAGAATTAGATTTAATTCGGGAATCTGGATGTGTTTAGCACACAGATGCAGAAAAGCTGATCAATATCAATTTTCCGCATCTTTCCACAAACATGTCCAGATTCCGGAATTAAATTCACTCCTCTTTGCTAATGGGACCAGGCCACTCCAGCACCTTTCCCAGCCATTCTCTTCCAAGGAGTTGGAGTTGGTTAACCATCCCAATTTCCCGGGGCTCGGCCTACTGGACCTCTTTTTTGGGGGGAGGGAGGGACCTCTTTTTTGGGGGGGGAAGGACCTCTTTTTTTGGGGGGGCGGAGGGGGGATTGGACCTCCTTCACTGGCAGCACCAGTGCTTTGCAACAACTGGAATCAATTGACAATGCTATTCACAGCAGATGCAATCCGAATTAACAACGATAGCAAATCAACATGCGAAAAGCACGTTCACAGCACACACACACGTAACGTAGAGATATTGGCAGAAGCAAGCTTTAAACCACCAGGGGCGAGGTCCCACTAGCTGCGTTGAGTTTCCTCAACTCCTGAATCTGGATGCGTTCGTGGAGATGTGCGGTTGAGAAAACTCAACGCGATTTCTGCAAATATCCACAGACACGCCCAGATTCAGGCATCGAGGAAACTCGACGCTGCTAGAGGGACCTGGCCCCAGTACCCCCGGGCCTGACGCACTTCCACCGCGCGCCAAACCTTTCCGAACCGCCAGCGACGCACCTTTTTTCTTTTTCGGCTGGCGCCACCCACCAGCCATTGTGGTCGAGCGGCCACGAGCCTTTGGAATTTCTGAAGGCAATGAAAGAAGATTTCTCCACACGGCTGGGGTCGTGTACTGGGGGTCTGACCCAGCACTACAGGCGCAGCACTGCGCCCCAAGCTGTTCTTTGAGCCGCCAATGCCAGCGGCGCGCTTTTTTTTTTCTGGCTGGCGCCGCTAGCAATTGTGGTTGCGTGGCCCTAACCGTGAAATTTGCGGAGCAGGCGACGAACAAATTTCTGCAAAGGCTGGGGCCGTGTACTGGGGCGTGGTCCCACTAGCAAAGAGGACCAGATCGAATGCCTGAATCTGGACGACGTTATTGATATGTGCAGGAAATCGAGATTGAACCGTTTTTCTGCATCTCTGCATAAAACACATCCAGATTCAGGAGCTCGATCCGATCCTCTTTGCTAGTGGGACCTCGGCTCTGGTGTTGAGACGCACCTAGGTTGACAAAGCGACAGCAAGGCGACAGCGATTTCGTCAAAATATACATTTTTTATTTTTTGAACGAAATTGAAACGGACTAAATTGGCCCGCCTGATTGAGGTCGGAGTTTTTTTTTTTTTGTCAGACAGTCACACGGATTTTTCCGGCATATGCGTACGCCAGACGGGTTATGACTCGTCACTGGCAGAATAATGGTCGGAATTTTTAGCTTTTGAGGGTACACGGCATTCTTAAAACGCCGCAACCCCTGGATGTACCTGGACTTAGCTGGAGTCCAGGGGGTAGGGCATTTTAAGAACGCGGTACCCCCTACATGTATTTGGATGTAGCTGGAGTCCAGGGGCTACGACGGCATTTTAAGAACGCCATACCCTCAAAAGCTAAAAAAATTGACCTCGATCGGGCCAATTTAGTCGGTTTCCATTTCATTCAAAAAAAAAAAAAAAAAAGGCCATTTTGACGAAATAGTTGTTACATCACCAGTACCTTTCCCCGCTTGAAAAGAAAACAAAAAGAAAACAAAAAAAACAAACATTCGTCGGTTGGGACCTGGCCCTAATACCATATGGTTAAGTGGTCCAACCTACCCAACCTACCACCCCTTCTCTGGGTGTAGGATATCATCTTAAGGCCAGAACTAACCTGACTGGGCCTTGAACACAGCATCTCCTTGGTGCGACAACGCGGGCATGCAGCCACATTCGCAAGGACCTGGACTTAGTGGTGCTGGTAAGAGCAGACACCACCAGCACCTGAGAAGAGGCTTCATCTATTGGTGGGGACCTGGACATTACCTGCCCTCTCGCCAAACTTTTACTCTTTTCAACCCTGTTAACGGACCTGGTACTAAACATGGTCCTAAACATGGTCCTAAACCTGGTCGTAAACCTGGTACCAAACTGGGTGC